AAGTCAGGTTTGGTCCAACTGCCAGGAAGCAGGAGAAGTTGAGAACCCGGATGTGGAGGGGGGGATGAGGAAAGGAAGAGGCAGAACGAAGGGCGTCTGGATGGCTCAGTCGGTGAAGCGTCTGACTTCGGCTCAGGTCATGATCTCACGGTTCGTGAGTCTGAGCCCCACGTCGGGCTCTGCACTGACAGTGCGCAGCCTGCTTAGGATTCTTACTCTCTCCTCTCTCCCTCTGCCCCTCCCCTACTCGCTCTCTCTTTCTCTATCTCAAAATAAGTGAAAATAAATAAATAAATAAATAAATAAATAAATAAAGAGGCAGAAGGAGACAAAGAGGGGACTCCCACTGAGGACTGAAGTACCACAGGCCTCAGCCCCTGAGCCGGGATGTCTGTATGTATCTAGCGGATTTGATCCTTACCCGCAGCAATTTCAATAACCCAGCAACGTGGGGAACACACAGCACTGGGAGGGGGGAGGACGAAGGAGGGTAGAAAAGAAGAAGGGACGCACCTTCTTTGACGCAGGTGCTGTTCTCCCGCTGATAGCCCTGCGGGCAGTCGCACATCAGGTACCCGGACGGGAGGACAGTGCTGGACACGCCCTCCGGACACCGGCAGCTCTTACTGTTGTTGGCCCTGGGCAGGCAGAGCAGGCTGCACGGCCTGGACACACAGGCGTTGCTTCCTGGAGAGAAGGCAAGCGGCGGCCACATCCGGGTTAAAAAAACCACCGAACGGGATACTGACATCAACACAACCTGCTCGTCGTACAGACACACGACGGCGCGGAGCGCAGAAAGAAAGGGGAAGGGCCGAGTGCGGGGGCTCGAACCTCGCCGACAACCCCTGCTCAGGGCCAGGCGTCCGCTGTTCCTCCTGGGAATTTGGAATTGGGGTGATGGAAAAACAACAGAGCAACTGGGGAGCCCGAGCCGGGAGAGAAGTCACACGGCGTGGGTGTCAAAGGTGAGGCAGCACAAACCAAACCCCGTGCAGGTCAAGGCTGTGCAGAAACAGACTCGAGAGAGGCAGACGGGAGAATACGGCAGACTTCCAGAGGGGAGGGGAAGGGCCACACCAGGGTCCCAAAGGGAGAAGGAGAGAGAGAGACAGAAGTGGTGTCTTTACCATTTCCTGCACCTGTCCCCACAAGGCTCACCTCTGTTTCCTCCCTTTGGGTTCCTTACAATCTCCCTTTATGCTTTCCTTAGCACTTTTTACTTGAGTTAGCTTGACTGGGTTTCTGCTCCTCTGACCCAAGAGCCCTTAATGAGAACATGCACCTGAGTAATGACAGGGCCCAGACGAACACCCGGGTCTCTGCTTTTCAATTCCTCTGCGCCCGAGTGCAGCGGCCGAGCTGAATAAAAAGCCAGCCACGGTGCCCATTAGCCTCAGTGCTATCTGTCATGCAATAAATCCACACAAGGACTAGTTAACATCGATCTATCCCTATTTCCAGTCTTTTCTCTGGTTCAGCTTTCCACAGAGAGGGCCAGACGAAAGTCCATAAAATCCTTCGCTGCATTCTGGGGAGAGAACTTTTGTGGATGAACAATGATGGGAAAGGGATGTTCCTACCCTCCACATCCCTCTGGCAAGGCGGGAGAGGATGCACACACCACTGGGTAAAAGCTGGAAACACGATACAACTATGGAGCACCATAAAAGCCACATAAATTATGAAATGTAAGCGTGTTCTTTTGGCTGTGACTGTCCATCATCAAACTCGGGGGAAAATACACATAAACGCTCTGATAAAACTCAGCTGATGACAGTCCTTCAGTTGTGCTATCTCACGGACAGACAAACGCACCACAATCACATCCAGGTAACCTGTTTCCATGCGGGAAGATTTTAGCCATGTCATTGCCTATACTGACCTGCAGGTTGGAAAACAGGGCTCGTTAATGACGACTGGTATTAATATGGGTGATGATACGCTCAGTGGCTTTGGATGTGTTGGCACTTCCTCAGTGTTTAACTAGCACACACATAAAAATAAAAGTCACAATGATATAGCAACAGTGTTGTTTAGACGCTAAGGACCGGAGAGTACGAAGCATTACCAAAGACACGAAATACATTCGCAGAGGAGAATCCATATGATGAAACATTCAAAAGGGTTCTACAAATATTTAACCAACTCTAAAGGCAGAGTTTCCACAGCAGAATAACCGGTTGACTAGAGCAGAAATGCCAGAGATCAGTTCACCCTGATCTGTTCCATGAAGAGAGATTATTCCTTTTTCAAAATACACATGCTCTAGGCTATAGGGAAGAACACAGAGCTACCACTAATGCAAAACAACTCCAAAACGATCTGGAACATGTTCTTTGTATTCAGAGGACAACACAGCATTCAGTGTTCCAAGAAATGGAACGGTAACAGAATACTTAAAAAAAAAAATACTCCAGGACAGGATGATGTTTTCACATGGGCTATGTCTGTAAAAGAACACGACTAACACTTTCACATGTGGAGCAAAGGTTCCTACCCAAGGAAGCAAGAGCCAGAAGCACCGAACCCAAAATGGGATTCTAAATTTTTTTTTTTAATGTTTATTCATTTTCGAGAGAGAGCGTGAGCAGGGGAGGGGCAGAGAGAGAGGGAGACACAGAATCAGAAGCAGGCTCCAGGCTCTGAACTCTCAGCACAGAGACTGACTCAGGGCTCTAACTCGTGAACCACGAGATCGTGACCTGAGCCGAAATCAGACACTCAACCGACTGAGCCACCCCGGGGCCCCCAAAATGGGGTTCTAGACAGAGATGTATACGGTCTGAGAGGCAGTGTCCAGAGGCAAACCCCAAACCAAGCAGACCCAGTCACTGACCCCAAGAGGTACACTGGGCAGGAGCTTATGGGGTGCTACAGAGAAGCCGGGAGAGCATAGAAGGGGTAGTCAGCAGAATTCCACCCCCAGAACATGGCCACGGACTCTATACAGGAGGCTGCAGTCTTGCATGGGCAAGGAAGACAATACAAAGACCATCAATCTGATATAAAGAGTGGACAAACGGCAGTCATCATCTCCAAAGATGTCCCCTTCAAAGACCAAACAGCCCCATGATGCCTTCATTGGGCAGATTCAGAACATATTCAGATCTCCTCTTTGGAAAATTCCTCCAGAACCAGTTTAGGACACAGAAATGCTATTATCTTGCTTAATTATCTAAACGTTTGACAATGATCGAATCAAATCCACCTCAGAGAGTAAGTGTTTGCCCTCACTACAGATATTTAAAAGCCTTAGATTACTGAGACTCCGAAGGACCATTCCAAGAGCTCCAAAGTATTTTAATCCATTGCAAAATCAACTGAAAAAAATCAACAGCCTTGTAAACTAAGCTCTTTAAAGAAAAAGCACTCAGGGCGCCTGGGTGGCTCAGTCGGTTACGCTTCTGACTTCGGCTTAGGTCACGATCTTGCAGTTCGTCGAGTTCGAGCCCCACGTCGGGCTCTGGGCTGCCAGCTCAGAGCCTGGAGCCTGCTTCGGATTCTGTCTCCCCCTCTCTCTGCCCCTCCCCTGCTTGTGCTCTCTCTCTCTCAAAAATAAATACACATTTAAAAAAAGAAAAAGAAAAAAGCACTCTTTGTGGGGAATAAATTCCAGTAACCCTACATGAAAACTAATCAGGGACAAAGATCAAGAAAGGCGGCTGGTTATAACCAAAATCGCCCAAATGGACAAATGCTCGGAGTGAACAAATTTTTATCACGAACAAGAATCAATCAACATCTAGGACTTCCATATCACCATCATATACCAGGGCACTGCTATTCCAACAACAGATGATAGAGGGAGCAGAGCCTAACAGTTTCGTGGAAGTCAAGCTTGGAAGTGAATTAGGCCACGGTGCAAATTCTTACCACTTAACTATACGTATGATACAGAAACATGAACCTGACTTTCATGTGCTCATCTATAAAACAGAAATATTAATAGTACACAGGATTTGGGGAAGGTTGACTGAGGTCATTCAAGCCCACAAAGCACATTAGCGTGATACTGATAACACAGGAATCCCTAAATAAATGTAGGTTATCATCTCGATTATTATTTTACACTTGGCTAATAGTCCTACGTGTGCTAGGAGCTGACACTAAAAATAATAAAGATTGACTAGCACCAGGGGTCACGAATGTGCAAAACAGGGTCCAAAAAAATCAGGCAGGTTAGAGCAAACAAGTTCAAGGCCAAGAGGCACCTGCTGCATACAGGCAGTGCTGGCAGCCAGATGTCATTTCAAAAGTGCTCAGCTACCCTAAACTAGCCCTGAGAGATCACAGACTTGCTTCTCCCGCCCTGTATCTGTGGGCGGGAGGCCGGCTGCAAGGATCCTGCTCACACAAAGGAGAAAAAGGAAATCCGAAAGGCAAATGGAGGAAGGACCAAAGAGAAGGCAGCGACCGGTCCTGAGGCTGCAGGCCCGAGTCTGTGTGCTACCCACCGGCACACATCTCCGTCCAGACCCCAGCCAGACTCCCGAATTACTCTGAATTACTCTGGATGGTTTAAATGAAGGGGGCTCGTTCAGGCACAAAGGGGAAATCATGCCTAAGGTGAGGCTCACAGGCCCGTGTGCACAGCCCCAGGAGACCACCTATGCACATGCTTAGACCACAAACTCGCTCCCCCAGCACAACACCCCCACTCCACCCCCCCGGGACCTGGCGGTGACTGCACACCAGCTGGAATGAAGCAAGTGACCAGCCGAGACCAGGGAGGGGAGAGCCCAAGGGTCAGCGGTTCATCTGAACGCTGCTGTGTGCTCACCAACACATGCTTACAAGCGCTTGTCAAAAGGCAGACTTGCTTTCTGGAAGGAGTGCTAATCCACAGGAATGCTGAGGACTCACTGGGCTTGCTACCCACGCCCATCAGCAGGGGTGGGGGTCCTCCATCAGACAAAGGCCCTGAGTTTCAGCCCCTGGAGCTGAGAAGCAGTCCTTCATCTCTCCCTGTTTTAAAACAGGCACCATGTCCGAGAAGAGAGTGACCCCTACGTTCTGTGGCAGAACTGGAACAAAAGCCCGGCTCCTAAACCAGCGAGGGACCTTTGAGAGAGCGAACTCACAACATCTGAGATGTCGTTCCCTGATCTATGATCCATGGATTCCAGTACCGCCCCCACCCACATCACAGGTCAGTCGCAAAGGCAGGACAAGAATACAGACTTACATTTCCAGCATTCCGTATGGTTTCCTAAGGGTGTTCACAATGCTATCTCCACTGGTCTCCCCCAAATAACAAGGGTATCTATAACCGTATTTTTTCCCTTTGACAGTCTTCTCTTAGCACAAGGCCAGCCAAAACCCACCAAACAATGTGAACATTCTAGCTCAAACCGGGAAACTTAGCAGTTTGTCAATAAAGGAGAGTCAGCAGACCCAGGGTGCTATTTAATCCTGCTGAGAAAAATAGGGTGTTTCTTAAAAGAACTATTCTTCCTGGAGCATCCTGCCGTCTCTTCTGGAGAGCCAAGCATACGGGTGGCATACAGACGGAAAGGGCAGGAAATAAGGAAGGAGGCTTTCTCCAGGACCAGCGGGGTCACAGGCACCGGAGCAGCTCTTGAAGCCTCTGCCAGCAATCTTTAACACAGCTACTGCGGCGCCTGGGCGGCTCAGTCGGTTGGGCATCCGACTTCAGCTCAGGTCATGATCTCATAGTCTCTGAGTTCGAGCCCTGCGTCGGGCTGTGTGCTGACAGCTCAGAGCCTAGAGCCTGCTCCGGATTCTATGTCTCCCTCTCTCTCTGCCCCTCCCCTGCTCATGCTTTGTCTCTCTCTGTCT